ACACACACACACACACACACACACACACACACACACGGGGCAACCCTAAATGACTCTTCCCCACCAAAACCAAACAAACAAACAAAAACCTCTTCTGGCTAAGGGCAACGCCTAAGGAGTGGTAACAGAGTTCTATCAGTGGACTTTACCAGACTGTCAATAGCCACTTGCACAGAAAGACAAAAACTATTTTGGTTTATTTGTCTTGCCATAAACGATCTGTGAAGCAGGTGGAAGAATAAAATGTCTTTGTGTCTTTTTTTCTTCATCGGTCCTTTCTCATTAAGTCATAAAGTGCCCTCCCTCTGAGCCCACACTGAAGAGATGGGGCCCACTCTCCACTCTTTATTTCTTCTATTAGAAATAAAAATGTAACACTTTACAGGTAAATACAAGAACAAAACCCTACATAATGTATCTTTCTGCACACGCAATTCACACAGACGTCCAGAGTCTTCATTAAACATGATCAAAATAATCACTTACCATCCAAAGCAGAAAAGTGCAAGATAAAGGCCCAAAAGGGTGGCAACAACATGTCTTATAAAAGAGCTAGTTTTGCTCGAATGCAGGTAAGTCCGAAACCAAATGGCTGCTAGCAAGGCAAAGAGTTGGCACACTACAAAGTTGACCTGTAAAGAGAAATTAAAATTTCGTATTAGCAACACAGACTTGAACTTTTCACTTGACGTTACATTTAAATTCTCAGGACAAAAAGACACCAAAGTTACATAAAATGGAGATCTTTCAGTTTGCTAAAGAAACAAAAACAAAAATCAGGGTGTCTTCCCAGGGAGGACGGTCTCAAGTTCAACGTGAAGGAGGCACATGGCAGGTGGGTGCCCAGCACGGGGAGAGGCCTGGGGGCCCCGGAAAACCTGGAAGACACGGGGTGCAGATGGAGAAATGGAAAGCATGGTGCCCTATGGTTCGAGGGAAAGAGAAACTTATTTTAATGACTTCAGTGACCCTGTAACAGGTAGAAAAGAAGAGCTCCGAGTTTCTCCAGAAGTCCTTGGGGTCAACATCGGTCAGGATTCCCGGGAGTCTGGGGGCCGCACGATCCCCGGGTGGAGGTCGCAGCCCTCCCTGCACCCGGAGTCGCGGCGCTGCCCCCACTTCTGGGCACGGGGACCGAACGTCTCAGCCCCGGGGGCCTCTAGGACTGGCTCAGGAGGCCAAGGATGAATCAGAGAAAGGAGCCCCCAGGAATCCCCGAGGGAGAGCACCCCAGCCCAGCCCCACAGCACCCTGAAACCAGGCGTGACTCGTTCTCATCCACAGGAGAGGAGCACGCGAGGGACCGTGCCGCCGCGCCTTCCCCCAGGACAGTTTTTTGCCCTCGAAAAATGACAAAATAAAAGGCCACATGTAAGACTCTCTGCGGTATTTAAAGACTCGAGAGAATTCTCCATGTCTCTCTTATGAAGAGGGTTCTCAGAGAACGTTAAGGAAAATGGGTATTAAAATCTACAAACAAAAAATCCGTTTGACATCAGGTGCTTGTAAGAAACACACAACAAACTCACTGGTCTCGGGTACCTAAATTAGGAACAAATCACACCATCGACATGTCGGAGCTGCCACAGATCCACAGAGATGTCTCTGCCTAAGGACAGGGACAGCTGTGTGCCTCCCCTGCAGCAGCAGGAGGACAGTTGGGCATTGTTGTCGCCGTGTGAGGGACCATTGTTCTTCCAAACACTTAGACTCCATACCAGCAAAACGTCATTCCAACAGGTTCTAAGCACTTTTCTCTCCTAAAGGGTTGTAACAATATTTTCTTAATTAAGGAAAAAGCATATATATCAGAAAAATGAATAATGATATTAATAATGATGCATAGCTACAAAGTTTCTTACAGTTTAAAAACTTTCTTTCAACCATCTCTTAATTGAACAAAAATTTATAGAGCATCCACTTTGGGCAAAGCATGGAAATCAAAAATTGCCTAAGTCCCAGTGAGAGCCCTGGGTGACTCTGGAATCTAGGAAAAAGCAAACTCATACGCAGAGAACTCAACCCACTTACAAGGCTAGACAGAAAGTGCCTTACGGACCCCTCAAAGGAGAGAGCGTGAAGGGGTGCCTGTCACAAAGCAGGCGACACGAGAGCTCCTGATGACAGCTGATCTCCACGGCCCTCCAGGGAGTCTCCCCTCCCTCTCCCTCCTCTCTCTCTCTCTCTTGCATATTTGTTTAATATAAAGCAAAGTGTGAATGACTACAGACACCTTCTAGAATCACCGACGTGTAGAATTTTCTATCTTTGTAAACATCCATTTCAACACTGTCATCTCACGGATAAAGAAAAGGGGATCAGATCTCACTCCAGACACCGAATCAAAGTCTTTGGGGGCAGGCGCGAAAGTCGATATTTCAAAAACAAAAGCCTGGGTCCCCACTGTCCTCAAGGTGTGAGAACCACAGTGCTGGGAAATTAGAAAAAGGGCATTTTAAGTAAAACCAAAAGCCAAGCAAACAACAAACCCAACGTGAAGGGAGCACTAAGGCTTGAGAGCGTCGCAGCAGGTCGAGGCGGCTGCTGTCCCAGCCTCCTTGAGAAAGGAGGGCCTGGAGCCGCAGGGAGGCAGACAGGAGAGAACCAACTCACAGGACACTCAGGCCACAGAACCGGCGGCACTGGTCCCCAGACAGGGGCGTGAGGCGGCGGGAAAGGCCACAAGTCATCATGGATGGTGACACAGATCAAGACAGGGCAATGTGGGGGGCGAGCGGGTTCTGGGGGGAGGGACGCTCCCCTGTGTACGCCCAGTTCGAGAGAGCCTGGGGAACAAGTGTGCACGCTTAGGAGATGGCTGGGAGACAGGTGTGCAGCCAGCAGGGCACACGTGACTCTGAGAGCAGTGGACACAGAGTAAGGTGACCTGTGGGAAGACAGGAGGGCCTCGGGCAGAGTCCCGTCGGGGCCAACTGACAGCAGCAAGAATGAGCACACTGTGTTTGGGGGGTGGGGAGGGTTTCAGAGGAGACTAAAGCAGCCAGGGTCACTGTCGGGGGATAGGGCACAAAGTCCAAAACAAGCCTCCTAACTTGGCAATGGCACCTTTTCCAGTGACCTTGCTGAGAACAGCTAGAGGGGCATTTGCAGAGCAGAAAGCCACATCTGCCGGAAGTGGAAGCTAAGTCTCAGTGTTTAGGTGACCCGTCCGAATGAATACAGCCTGAGAATAATGGTGGCTGGACAAATGTGCAAGAGACACACAGATGCGTGAAGCAGGGCCCTGCGCTGAAGGCACAGAGAGCTAGGGTACAACTGAGGCGCCAAGGAGAGGACCCAGGGAGCAGCGTGCAGTTAATCCTCTTGACCCAGGGGAGCATCCAAAGGCACATCTGGTACCTGTGCTGCCAAGGTGAAGATGGATTTAGATGGTCAGAAGATGGTGGGAACTCCAGAAGGGTGGAGCAGCACAATTCACATCAAGAAAAAAATCTGTCAGACATCCTGATGGGGACATCCAGACTCTGTTACTTTCCATAGAAAACACCAGGACACGCACACACCCAATGTTCAATTAACTGTCCTGAAAGGTCTTAAAGGTAAAAGTTTCCCAAACTGGACCACATTTTAGTCATCCTTTCACGGGTGGGGTAGGGTTGAGGGGGCAACTGAATACTGGAGAGGGAGAGACAGCGAGAAAGAACCAGCAGAGCTACAGCGCGGGGATGCGCAGCATGTGCTGGGCACCTGACACTGCTTATCCCGTCTGATCCCAAGAACAGGTGCTCCTTCCCCCATTTTACTCAACCAACTCAGGCCACTTACAGTAACAGTCAGTACCCCAGACTCACATCCACGTCTGGCCTAGGCTGTTCAATGGCTGCCTCTCTACCTCCAGAGGATGCCTGAAGGTCGAACTTGGCTGCTACAGACAAGACTATCTAGAGCATTTGGGATCAGCAAAACCGGGAAAAAAAATGGGAAAAAAGAATCCAATACATATTTCACAGAAACTAAAAATTAGACAGATTAGATTTTAAAATGAGCTTAAAAGAATTGTGCAGATGTGAATGTTCTGATGTGGAAGGTCACCAAGGTACACTATTCTGTGAAAAGCGTAAGTTGCAAAATAGAAGAACACATCGAACTCTTTGTGCATACATGCATTCATTCATTAAACATATGTTTATCCTGCACTTATGACTCTTCTGTGTACCTACAATGTGCTAGACATCACAATGGTCTCCATTTATCCGGCTCACGCATGCCACCCCTCACTGACGGTAGTGGGTCAGTGTGCTCCCGGCACAAGCAAGTGCTTCACGGGACAGCTCCCTGTAACCTCTCGACTGCCCTGTGGAACCAGGCACCTCTGCTCCAGGGCCCTGCTACTCGGCATGCTCTGTCCTGCTTCCGTATGCACACACACAGGGAAACCAGATGTCCACCTTTCAGACGGGGTCACCTCTAAGAAGGAGGTGATGGAGAAAAACAGTCCAGGATTCCCAACACCACACATACGATGAAACTCCGTTGGGTGAGGCTTGTGTGCAAAGCAAAGTCCTCCTTTCCTCTCCAAGTCCCTCCATTCCTTCCACTAAGAGTAATCCTCAAAGTGGACACCGCACCCTCGTGGTTTTATACTTTTACTGCCTGAGCAACTTACATATTGTATTGCATTGAATGTTTCACACTTTATAAAATGGTAAAAGACTGAAAGCACGCACCTGCATCTTTTTTTCCCACTTAACATTATGCTACAACCACCTACCTACGCTGATGCATTTGCTTGCCTGCCGTATAGCATCCCACCTAGAGCAGAATTCTTCCCCAGAATCTTTCCTTGACTAGATACGGCCAAACTGAGCAGTTTTACCACTTACACCCCTGCCAGCAGTGTGACTTGCACTGCTCCATATTCCTGACAATGGCTGGCACTGTCAGACTTATGATGCGGCCAAGTCAATGGATGTAAAACATTAACTCGTTACCTTTTCATTTGTATCTCACCTGATTACTAGTGGGGTTGGCATTTTTCACATGTCTTTGGGACATTCAGTTTCCTTTTTATATTCTTTACCCATTTTTCTATTGGTTCTTTTTTCTCAATGATTTTTTTTTATCTTTATATACTTGAAACTATTCTTTTGCAAACAGCTTCTCTGTGTGTGACTCCCCTTTTCTCTTGGTTTATGGTGTCTTTTCCAATAGAATTTTTCTTTACACACAGCTATATTTTATTAAATGAATATGTGGACACATATCCATGTATTTCTTGGATTAGTTTTTTTTTTAAAAAAATTGTTCAAGTGTGATTATATCATTGAATGAGAGAAACCAGAAATTCTGAAATTTTCCACTTAACGGCATTAAAACATCTATCTATTTCCAACTTAAGCCAAATACTGTCATGCTCCCAGCACTAACAGTTTCCCACTCTGTATAACAAATTACATTACATTTCACACAACCTAAATTATCTTCACAATATTCATGTGACATCAATGTTATCTCTGCCTTAAAGGAAACAGCAAGCATGAAAGATCTGGGACCCGGACCTCCTGACCCTATCTTATGCTCTTTCCTTTTAGTTCCAAAGTTGAACCTGATCCTATCATGTTCTCATTTTCACTAAAGAATGCCAAGAACTGATGTGGGGCCAAGAAAATGAAAAAATGCTATTCACAACTTCACATCCTAACTCTACAACAGACTATGTATTTTCTCTTTTTATGCATTACATTTCCTCCCTTTTACTGGAACACGAGGAAGAGGTGTCTGGGCTGCTCAAAATACTTACCAAGTTATACACTTATTTACTGTGTGGTAGTTTTCTGAACAGATCTGTGACTGTCCAATATGACACCAGCCACACGTGGCCATGAACATTTATATGTGGGTCCAAACTGAGATGTCAAATACATACCAGATTTCAAAGCCACAGAGTAAAATACCTCATTAATGTTTCTGTTGACTACATACTGAAATAGTATTTTGAATACTAATCAAATAAACTACATTATGGCATTAATTTCACCTCTTTTACTCCTTTTTAAATGTATCTATTAGAAAATTTTAAATTCCATATGCAGTTAGCATTGGCTCACATTTTATTTCTATTGGACAGCACTGGTAAATCTGATATACTCTATTTTAAAAGTTTTAAAAAAATGTTCTCCCTCTTATGAAAAAGTGTGTATATACTTAAACTGCCACATGAGCCGTACAACAGTTAATACCTGTTAATTACTTCTCCATCAGAATTAAGCATTCTCTGGTAAGCCAACAGTGGTCTCATAACAAGTTTAGGGTAAAAAAACCTTATATTTCAAGGCAGCTCAAGATGAAGTGCAATACTCAACAAATTAACAGAAGGACCCCCAAATCAATTGCTACCTCCACATCTCTATCAATGGAATACAAATTACATCTAATGTTACCTTTCTAACAGTATAAGTGGCTTTGGAGAGCATATTTACATTCTTAGCCAGTGGCTCCTAAAATAAACAGGCAGCTTCTGAGACCCTGCCCGGGTGGGGCTGGGGGAGTGAGGCACACAGTCCGTGGCCGAGGGTCACAGGAGTTCTCAAGGCCCCACAGACGTAACAACCTCGAGCATCCTCAGTGTCATGCTTGAATCAACCTGCGTAAGTCCAGCTGCGTAATAACCACCTGCACAGCTAGTCAGAAGTGGATTCCTGGGTACAAGCCCCAGGAGTTTTATTCCCTGCTCTGATACAGGACCTTAAATTCTTTTTTTTTTTAATTCCTCAGGCAAAACTCGTGTGCTCCATGTTTGGGAAACGTGTCTTCATCAATCAATCTCAAAGTCAAGGAGATATGATGGGGCCCAAAGGCAAGGCAAAGAGCCACTCTTTAAATCTTTAGGAAATAATACAAATTAAGTCCACGTAAGATACCATTATATATCCTCCAGATTGTCAAAATTTTTGAAATCTGACAATACCAAGGTAGACTATGATGTGGAGCAATGGGATCTCTCATACACGGCTTCCACAGACACTCTGGAAAACAGCTTGGCACTTCCTTACAGGATGACAGATGCTCACACCCAATGACTCAGCCACTCCACTACTTAGCAGGGTAACCTGGGGACCAGGAGACATGTACAAGAATGATCAAAACTGCATTGTTCCTCATAGCCAAATGTTAGAAAAAAAATCCTACGCCCATTAGTAGTAAAATGGCTAAATATATTATGGTATATCCATACAACAGTAAACTACACAAAACAATGAAAATGAAAGAACTAGAGCTTCTTACAACATGTGGATTAAACTTAATACACGACGCCGTAGGAAAGAAGCCGTACATCGCTTGAATTCATTCGTAGAACACCTACAACATATAAGCAGATATTTGTAAAAAAGGCCCCAAAACAAGCAATAAACCATATTGTTTGGGGGTGCCTGCACACGTGGTAAAACCACAAAGGGGAGCGTGGGACGATTATCACTCAAGTCAGTAAACGGGCTGTCTACGCAGGAAGGGAACAGGCCACACTGAGAGGCACACAGTGGCATTTTGTGCGCTGGCAATAATCTACTTCTTGTCCAGGGCAGTTACAGAGGTACTGGCTTTTTAATTTTTTGTTAAACTTTGTAAGTACGTAATAGTTATGATAACACTAGGTGCTGTGACAAACAGACACATAAAAAGCTTATGTACTGGCGCCAACAAAACTGAGGTTCAGGTACAGCCCAGAGCAGATATTCCTGGTCAGGGCGGAGCCTTCCCAGGCGGGTGGTTCAGGGGTCCTGGCTCCCCCTATTTTGTGGTACGATCGCCCAGAACCTCGTCATTGCTGCACTCAGCCACAGGAAGGGAAATGGGAGAGCACACAAAAGGCACAGTTGTTTCTAAAGGGCCCCCGCCTGAAAATGGGACACAGACCGCGGTCCCCCCCACCACCATGGGAAGAGCCAGTACCAGCGCCCGCCACACCGCGGGTGGACGGGGAAAGGCGCTGGCTGGGCACCAGGACAGGGGAGAACTGACTTGTGGGGAACAGCCAGCAGCCTCCACCACGCTGTTCTCCGGAAGGACACCCCAGTGACTGGCACAGTAACTGCCCATCAGGGTACAGGGCAGGGGAAAAGGATCCGTCACTGTATACCCCCGACCAGCTTTTTATTTTGCACCATGCACTCTTATTATCTACCCCCAAATACATTTTTTAAAAGTAATTTATGCTTCTTTTCAAATTTCCAAACCAAAAATTGAACACTGGGATTTAAGAATGTAATTATCTCATCTCCCTACACTGAATCTGCACTGCTAGTTCCATCCCACTAAATTTCATACAACAGCAGGCATGTCTTAAAGGATATAAGCATCTTCAAATGTGATTAGGACACCGCCACAGAAAAGCAACTCTTCCAAGCATGAAGGAAGTTAAACTGCACCAGTGTTAGAAGCAACTTTGGTCAAGCAGCACAAAGCACACTTAATTCAAGAATCCTGCCCTCCAGCTAAATGGTAAAGACGAATCCTCTCCTCCAAGGCCCCCAGCTTGGTCAATGGGATCACTCAACTCCTTGACCAGAAACTATGGAAACTTCACGCATACTCTGGGGCTTCCAGACACTTTTTAAATCAGTTCTATACAGCACTTGTCACTTAGTGGCCTATTAGTCTGACTTTTCCTGTAGACTGTGAGCTCCACTTGGGAGCTTGGGGACATATTTTATTCATCTGTGAATCCCTACCCATCCCAGAGTACAGTGCCTGGCTCCCTCTGTGCTTTTAATTCGCTGAAAGAAACAGTGGCAGGGGGGAATCATGCTTCAAGCGCTTGCTTAAAATTCAGGAGTATACACTATTAAGAATATAACAGTCCGTGTTTTATCTTCTTTCTTAGAAGCTTAAAGCACTTAGTATTAATTGTTACAATTAGAAACTTCATAACCAGAAATAAAAAAATAAACACCGAAGCCTAAAGAGGCACTGCACCCAACACTGAGCTAGCAGGCACTGTTCAGGCACAGGGAACAACACAGACACGGCAGACCCAGCACCCGTGAAACTTCCAGGTGGGCAAGACGACACACAGACGCCCCGTAACAACCGCGGCTGCTGGATGGGAGGCAGCGGACTGGTGTCCGGAGGAAACAAAGCAGAAACACTTATTTGGGATGCCTCGGGGTTCCATCCTCTCTCCTGAATCACAGGACAACTGCCTACCCTAATCCCACAAAAACAAAATGCCCTGGGTGTAGCCAGCAAAGCCCCCTGTCCACCAGGAAGACCACCCACACCTTGGGCACACCTCCTCCTCTCCCTTCCCAGACAAAGGCACAGAGGCCAGAGCCCGGACAGCCATGACCGCTACCCCATGCTAAACTCGCTGTCGTTGAAACAGCCAGACTCCTGGGGGCTTATTAAAGACAGATCCTGAAGTGTATTCTCAGATCATCCACCGAAACCAAAACGCAGTAAGCTTTCCCACATGCACCAAAACAGAAGCGGAAAGCGAGTGATTCAATCAGGACACTAGCGATTCTACCCACCAGGTTAATGAGAGTGGATTTCATTTCAGTCTTGCCATCCACGTAAGATTCCTAAGAACTAAGAAGGAATTTCCTTATATTGACCTGTGAAATCAAAAGGTACTAAATTAATTGCATCCACACTGCTAAATTATGAACCTCAAGCAAAGGCAATCTACGGAAATGAGTTTTCCTGATAAAATAAACGCACCATACACACATCCCAAAATATCACACAGAACACAGACGCAAAGAAAGGGTTGATCTGCTTCCTATCCACGCTGCCTGTCAAACGTGCTCTGACAGATGACTAACAAGGAGCTCATCCCTAAACAGGACAGAGGGGAATAAACGTAAGAACAAGGAACCATTGCCCCTTTTCTTAAGTGTTTGGGGGTGTGGTGTGCGTGCGTGTGCACGCCTCTGTATCTATCTCTTAGGTGGTTACAAATAATACTAGCAGATCAAAAGACTTGCTGAAGGGAAAAAGTAAGGAGTCTAAATTCACAATGACTGGATAAATAAATCCTAGTACATCCATACAACAGGATATTCTTAGCAATAAAACGGAATCAATTATCGTGACACACACAACAGATGAATCTCAAAATAACTGAGTAAAGTAATTCAGAAAAAAGGTTGTAATTCTATTTATATAAACTTCTAGAAAATACAAACTAATCTATACTGACAAAAAGCAGATCAGCGGTTGCCCGGGGACGCAGGGCAGGGAGACGCGAGAGGGCAGTATTACCAGGGGCTCGAGGAAACTCGTGGTGAGAGGGACACGCATCACCTTTACTGCAGTGGTAGTTTCATGGGTGGTGGCATAGGTCAAAACATCCAGTTTTACACTTTAAAATGTACAGTTTACTGTGCATCAATTACACATCAATAAAGCTGTTTAAATTTTTTTAATAAAAATAAATTCACATTGACCATCATTTGGGTTTAACTGAAAACCTCACAATGTGATTGAGATTACCTTTACTCTTGGAAAGATCTTTATTTCGGTTCTATTATCATGCTTTGTGGACCAGCAACTGACATGCAATTTTGGAATGAATATAGACAGAGAACATTTAGCTGCCTGAATTTCTTCCCCATTCATCACTCTCATGGTTTAAAAATCTAAAAGAATTTTAGTGAAGAGTCCCATCACTTCAAGTTTTTCACAGTCTCTGTAACTCAATAAATGTCTGATTTTCAGAAAAAAAGAAGCCTAAAGACCATCCAGTCCAACTTCCTCAACTTAAAGGAGTAAACTGAAGATTCCATTCTCTCCCAGGAGTTCATCTCTACGTTGTTGACACCCAACTTTGTCATTTCAGTCTTGACCGCTCTGCAGAGCTTCAGGCTAGTTTATCCAGCTGCCCACTCAACCTCCTCTCTGAATGATCTGCTGCCAAAAGGGTACTCCTACACCCCCCCACTACCAACTTCTCCCCCAGATTTTCCCATCAGTAAATGCACCATCACAAAGTCAGCTGCTCAGGCAAACACCTAGGAATCACCCACTTCTTACCTTCCACACAGACTCCATCCCAAAGTTCTTTTAGCTCCGTCTCCAAATTATATGTGTGCCCATGCATGCCCCAGTCCCCAACTCCACTATGGCCATCTCTTCTCGCCTGGACAACCAAGCATGCTAGGTTGTACTATTTCGTCTCTTGCCTCTCCAAGTCAGGCTCTCCAGTCAGTCATTTGATCACATCAATCCTCAGCTTTAAAATGCTCTGGCTAGAAGGGAGTGCAGGTATAGCTCAGTGGTAGAGCACATGCTTAGCATGCATGAGGTCCTGTGTTCAATCCCCAGTGATTCCACTAAATAAATAAACAAATTATCTAATTACCACTTGCCCTCCCCAAAAATGCTCTAGCTAGCAGAATCCCTGTCTAAAATAAAATCTTAACTCCTTACTCTGCCCTCAAAGAGCCAGGCCCCCATCCCTAGCCTCACTCCCACTCTCTCACTGACCACCTTTCAACCCCCTGAGCTTCCCTAACACACCAAATTCATCACCACCTCAAGGCCAAGGCCTTCCACTCCGGTACCCAGAACGCACAAAATGCACATACTTCACCCTTCACATCAGAACTCAAACATCACATCTTCAAAAGCTTCACAGACCTCACAAGCTGAAGTAGCATTCCTGATCATTTTAAAACACACACACTACATCTCATTTCACTGACTTCACAGTACACGTCACTATGTAAAATTATTTTGTGAACCTGTGCACTTATTTATTATATTTTCTAACAAAATGTATTCATTAATTTCATTCATTCATTCAATTCTGCTATGACTATCAGAAGCTTTAGTCCAAATAAGAACAGTGACTTAAACTTGAAAAGCATTTTTTCCAGGGGCCAAGGTACTCCTGCGTAAAAAGCACCCACCTTGTAAAAAAAAAAAAGGTCAATTTCAGCTGACCTATTAATTACATAAGGCTTCAAATGATGCAAAAAAACTCACTTTTCTTCTGGGCTGCCTCATTATCATCAGATTTCAGTTCAATACAATATCACAAATTGCAAACATATTGGTTTTGAAATTATACTGCCTCCCATCAAAAACAGTACACTTTTCAATAAAGATTATGTCAATATAAAAAATACTGACTTTTAATGATTAGCTTGGAATCTGAACACTTTGCCTTTGAAAAACTTAGCCATCAAGCACTTAAGCAACACATTATCTGAATGAGCCGACTTAAGCACTTTTAATTTCTTTTTTTTTCAGAACTTTTACAAGGTTTCAGACACTGCCACCCAAAAAATCACAATCAATCATTATGCCTCTCGATGGCACACACTGTGAATTATCCTCTAGTAAATCATTCAGATGATCACTAAAATGCACACTTCACAAGCACAGGGATTTGGGTCTATTTTGTTTACCACATTCCTAAGCACCTATTTCTGGCATATGACCCCCACTTACCAGACACGTGTTACTAAATACCTGCAAACTCATATTCGGTTCTGTCTTATCCAGATCACCATATTATCCCAAACAGATGTATAATCTCTCCTCCCTATTGCTTGATGCCATCTTAATATTAAGCATGAGCTAAAAAGTGATTCTTTGATATAAATCACAGTGAGTATTTGGCTTCCAAACTATATGGTGACATGTGGGAAATCAATCACAGACCAACGAGGATCCTATCACGTGGGGTGTAAGGGGAGGCAAGGCTCCACTCAGTCCTGATAGGCTGACTCCGCCGGCAAACTCCTAACAGGTCTCTGCTCCGGGGCTAGGAAGGAAGCCACAGCTGCACGACCATCTGCACATCACAGATTATCAAATATTCACACCAGCTCCAAGGTGAACGTTAAGCAGCGCCACACAGCTGATAAAGTAAGTCACCATAATTAAATAGTCAAAGGCAGCAATTATGAATCACAGGAAAGTAGCTCCGTTCTGAGGAGTGTCACAAATAACGTATTACTAATGAAAGTTAAAACAGTCAAGTTTGTGAACAATTTACTTTAAGAAAGATTCCCCTCAAAGAAGAAAGCAATCGAGATGCAACTAGTTTGCTGGGATCTACATACACAAAACCAGGCGCACAGGACGGGAACGTCTCCTGTGAGCGGCACCAGCACATCACAGCAGGCTGGCAGCCGCGGACGTAAAGACAGCCGCTCATTCCGACCTAATAAACCACAAACACAAAGCCTTGCTCTGGCCCTGACCAAGGAATCTCTGGCACTTACAACCTCTGGATGCCACAGTTTCTTAATATGAAAATAAGAATAACTTCTATCTACACTTCTAGAGTATGAAATGTACCAAAAAAACAAAAAACAGAAAGCAAAGACCCCAAACATCATTCGTACTTCTGATCCTTTATCTGACTTGGTCTGCCCACTTGGCCAGCTGGACTCTGGTGGAGCAGGACTGGACCCCATAAGGGGAGCTCCACTGACACGAAGTAGCTAGAAAAGTCAAATTCATAGAAACAGAAAGTAGAATGGCGGTTACCGGGAGTTGGGGGGAGGGGGCAGGTAGAGAGTTGTCTGATGGGTATGCAGTTCCCATTCTGCAAGATGAAAAAGTTCTGGAGATCAGTCGCACAGCAATGTGAATATACTCAACACTAGCAAACTTTACAGTCAAAAATGTTGTTGTTCAAAGTTTTTTTAGTTAGAGAATTTTATTTAATGGTTAAGACTGTAAATTTTATATATTTATATATGTTATCACGATTTTTTAATTTTTACAATTACTTTTTAAATAAATAAATAATCAAGAACTTCTCCATCAAAAGGCACCACAAGGAAGATGGAAAATCAAGCTACAAACTGGGAGAAGGTATTTTACAACACACATAAAATGGAGAAAGAATTCAAATCCAAAACAGAAAGAGTCTCTAAAAATCAGTATGAAAAGAACAAACTGCCTAATTTAAAAATAAGCAAAAGACAGGAATAAGCATTTCACAGAAGAGGAAACACAAATAGCTAGGAACTAACCATATGAAAACACGCTAACCTGTGTTCAGGAAAAATGAAAATTAAAATCACAAGATACCTTTTCATACCCACGAGACTGGCCAAAATGTATCAACCCGGTAACAGCAGGATCTAAGTGCCAGGGAGGATGAGGAAGAAAAGAATTTCGATACACTGTGGTGGGAACGCATGCTGCTATAACCACTTTGGAAAACAGTTTGGTATTATTTACTGATGTTAAAGACCATTTTCCATGACCGTAATTCTACCCGTCCCCTAGGGAGGTAAACTCAGAGAAACTCCTGCATATGTGCGAGGACACGTGAGCAGGAACGTTCACCGCAGCACTGCTTATACAATAAAAAACTGGAACCACATGGATGGCCTTGGACAGGAGAACTCAAGTTAAGTCACGGGAAATTCACACCAGAGAAGAATGAAAATGAAAGGACTGCAGCTACAGCTACCAACATAAATAAATACACCTGGCAGAAGTAACAGTGAGGAAGCCAGACTCAGAATCATTTAAACAAAGGTCAAAAGGCAAAGCTGAGCAAAACTAAACGTGATGTTGTTACAGATACACACACTATGAA